GAATTGGCTCTGCAGTGAAGGCTAGCTTTGAAAGCTTGATTATCTCCCTCTACTATTAAATGCGAAGATCAACCTCAACACCCTTCCCACTCCAAATAGCCTGTTTTTGTTAATTTGAGGGGTTTGTTTTTGCTTCTTGGTGTGTGTGTGTGTGTGTGTGTGTGTATGTGTGTGTGTGTGTGTGTGTGTGTGTGTGTGTGTGTGGGCGGGCGCGCGCGCGCATGTTTGAGACAGGGTCTCTCTAAACATAAACACACAAAACTCTGACTGTCCTGGAACTTACTATGCAGACCAGGCTGGCCTTGAATTTATAGAGATTTGCCTGCTGAGTACTAAAATTAGAGGCATGAGTTACTCCTAGGTCTAAAAATTTTTAGCGTCTTTCCAACATTGGTGAATCTAGTGAACTCTCTCTGTGAAGACACAATTGTACCTCTTTGTGATTCTGTTTAAGCAGGCTGAAGTTTAATTAGCTTTCCAACCAACCAACCAAACTTCTGCATTCAATTCTTAAATCCTTTTTAAATATTACTATGGCTTAAAAGAAGCTATTGATTCAGAAGTAATGAATCAATTTTTAAAAGCCACTTCACTCCCCATAACCCCCCCCAGTCGAGTTTCTCTGTGCAGTGCTGGCTGTCCTTGAACTCAGCCACCTGCCTCTGCCTCCCACGTGCTGTGACTGAAGGAGTGCACCACCACCAGCTGGCAAAAAAACACTTGGATTTTAACCGTGTTACAGAAGAATAGCAACAAACATTTGGATGTTTATAAACACTATTTCCACTCTAGCAGATAAACTCAATAAATGTCATATCACTACTCCAGAAAAAGAAAAAGGAAAGATAATCCCACTTCAGTGTCACATTATTAATCCCATAGTTAATGTTTGTACAGCATAGGCAAAATGGGCTAAAGAGACGGCTCAGTGATTCAGAGCACTGGCTCTTCTAGAGGACCTGGGTTCAATTCCCAGCACCCAAATAGCAGCTCACAACTGTATGTAACTCAATTCCAGGGTACCAGACACCCTCATACAAATGTACACTCAGGTAAAACACCAATGAACATAAATAAAAATTTAAAGAAAAAACATTAAAAATATATATCAAATACATGCATTTCAAATACATGTGAAATTCATATATATATGTGGAACAGAATCTTGTTATGTAGTCCAGACTATCCTCAAAGTCCTGATCCTTTTTTTGACTTAGATTCCCTAGCACAAAACTAGTCAGGTGCTGCCACACAGTTTTTAAGCATAAAGTTAATATTTAAAATTGTGTCTTATATAATACAGTCTTATATTCACTTATATGGGTGTCAAGTACAAGAAAAACATGAATGATACAACACAATGTGACTCTTATTGCCTGGTCAGTAGATGATACTAATTTTGATATAAGCACATGCCTGCATTTGGCCTCCTTGTATTATCTTCCTTTGATAGACATGAGTAGGTTTTATACTTTCAGTCAGTCTTGTAATTCCGTGTGTGGTCCTTTTTGTTTCAGGCCAAGAGAATGGATACTGCTGTCTTGTTCATTATGTCCTAGTATTTGTTCCACTTTTATGATTTATTGATCTTAAAGAATTGTGTTAGAGGTGGTGGTGCACACTTTTGATCCCAGCACCCGGGAGGCAGAGGCAGGTGGATCTCTGAATTTGAGACCAGCCTGGTCTACAGAGTGAGTTCCAGGACAGGTTCCAAAGCTACACAGAGAAACCAAAACACCAAAAAGAACTGTGTTAGGTTCTTTTGGATGCAGAAAACAGAAAAACAGTTAATCTCAACTAGGGGTGGTGGTAAGGATGTGTATTGATGTTTATCTTAGTCATTTATCTAATTATTTTGAAGAATGCTACATGCTTTAGGAACTAGGATGATCTTTTGTAGCTCTAATGAATTTGAAGCTACTTATTTTGGTGATCTATATTTAGTGCTAATTATATGGAAATTGAATTAATGTGACCAACATCTATATCCCTCAAACATACATCCTGTGTTGCTAGCAGGTGGCTGAATGTAGGATTTGATAGACTACAAGAGAGTAAATGGTATGCACTTCAGAATTGACCTAAGCAATGATAGTACTTACTGGCTAGTCACTTATCCCCCTATCCTGCCTCAGGTGTCAAATAGCTCATCTGTCCTCCAACTCACTATGTAACTCTTGAACTCCTTATCTTTCCTCTGCCTCCCAGGGGCTGGGATTTCCATCTGGCATCACTATGCTTGGCATGAATTATATCTTTTCTAGATTTCTGTTGGTAATGTTTCTGTTTTAGTTTGATGATTTAGCTGCATGTACATTTCTAAGTTTAGTTATTTTCCTCAGTACTTTTAGGTTTTTATTTCATTGCAGACTGTGACAGGGTCTCATGTAATAGCCCAGGCAGGCCTCAGATCCACAGGTGTGAATCACTATGCCCAGCTAAGAAATCTGGTGTGAATTTAACAGTTGCTCATCTGTGGAGAACTGTTTGTTTGGGGTTTTCCCCTGTCACTTTATCTTTGGTACTCTGCAGCTTCACAGTCATCTAAGCAGCTATCAAAAATCCCAGAGATTTTCAAGGAAAATTGGTATCTTAACTGAAACCAGCATGGCTTCCTTCACTCTGCTTTTCTCCTTGTTTGGGGCTGAGCCTGGGCTTTGGAGAACTACCAGAGAGAGGCATTCTTCTCTAGTGACAACTTAGCTATGTTTCTACAAGGATGTCACATTTCAGCAAGTGCTTCTGTTTGACAGAGCACTTCCAAGTTACCTTGTGTCTTTTTCTCTGCTCTTCAAGCAGTTTTTCTTGAAACAGAGCACAAACTACTGTTTTCTAGAATGTCTTGGAATCACTCTCCCTAGTTCATTTCCCTCTGCTTTTTTGGAAGGGGGGCAGGGTGCAGGTTTGGAGATCAGATTTCTCTCCTACCATGTAGATACTGAGGATCAAATTGAGGTGGGCAGTCTTGTGGTTTCCACCACTACTGGCTGAGCTATTTAGCTGCCTTCCCCTCTTCCCTCCTCCTCCCCCTCCTCCTCCTCCTCCTTTTCCTTCTTCTCCTTCTTCTTCATCTTCCTCTTCTTTCTTCTTTTTATGTGATCCAGGCTGGTCTTGAACATTCCTGCCTCAGCCTCCTAAATGCTTGGATTGCAGGCATGCACCATTGCATCTGACAATCTAATGAGCTTAAAGGGTAAACCAGGTAACATTACTTCTCTGCTTGAAATTGTTTAATGGCTTCTTGAAGTAAACTGCACACTTCTTACTATATCAGTCCTGTCTGCTGTGAAGTTTTTCGGTGGTTTTGTTTATTTATTTCTTTATTTACTTTGAGGTGGGGGTCTTGATTTGTAGCCAGCCCCGTCCTCAAGTTCCTCGTCTTACCTCAGTCATCCAGGCACTGGAATTGCAGGTTTGCTCCATCATATGTACTGTACCCCCATGTTTTCTGATATACCAACTTGCACCAAACTGCAATTACACAGATCTTAACCATTAATGGCTGAGTCATCTCTCCATCCCTACCTGGAGCTAAGGACTGAACCCAGGACCTTGCACTTGACAGGCAAATGCTCTACCAGTGAGCTGGCTCTCCAACCCTATGTGGGTCTTCTTAACTGACCATGGCATTCCTTTTCCTTCCTACCTCTAATCCTTTCTTCTGGGTGCTTCTGGCTTTCTCTTCCCGTTTTCACTTTTATCTTTTTAAAGATTTATTTATTTATTTCACATACAGTGTTCTGCCTGCATGCCAGAAGAGGACACTGTATTGAATTGTAGATGGTTGTGAGTCACCATGTGGTTGCTGGGAATTGAACTCAGGACCTCTGGAAGAGCAGTCGGTGTTCTTAGCCTCTGAGCCATCTCTCCAGCCCCCGTTTCCACTTTAAATGTCACCTTCTCTGTTCAAAGTAATCTCCCTCGGTTTTTGCAGTGTAACAGATACCAATACTTTGATTATTCTGTTTTCATTGTTTACAAACTTTACAAAGATGAGGTAAAGCATTTCCACCTTCAAATCCCTAGTACCTAAAGGTGTTCTTTATAGGCATTAGACACTGACATAATTGTAGAATAAGAATACTTAGATTGGGCATGGGAGGAGGAGAGGGAGAGGGAGCTAGGAGTAACATGTGAAGCAACCTTGTTTCTCATTTAAATAATAATAAAAAACTCACTGGGTTGTAAAGATGGCTCAGAGATTAAGAGCACAGGCTGCTCTTCCAGAGGTCCTGAGTTCAATTCCCAGAAACCACATGGTGGCTCACAACCATCTGTAATGAGATCTGGTGCCCTCTTCTGACCTGCAGGGATACATGCAGACAGAACATTGTATACACAATAAATAAATCTAAAAAAAAAAAAAAAAAAACCACTGAATACACTGAAGTGTATTCAGATTTTCGGCACAGGAAAAAAAAAGAATACTTAGATTAACTCCTCCATTGATAACATACAGAGATTTTTGTTTGCGAAGAGGGAGGACCTAATTTAGCAGCATAATCTGATTTGTAGGCTAAAAAACAAAGTGGTGAATGAATTCTCAGAAACAAAGATCCTGTATACACAAGCATGCATGGATCAGATGTTCTCTGTCAGTATCTTCAGTAGGTAAAATGTAATTGCAGAAAATACGGAATGCAGCCGGGCGTTGGTGGCGCACGCCTTTAATCCCAGCACTCGGGAGGCAGAGGCAGGCGGATCTCTGTGAGTTCGAGGCCAGCCTGGTCTACAGAGTGAGTTCCAGGACAGCCTCCAAAACAATACAGAGAAATCCTGTCTCGAAAAACCAAAAAAAAAACAAAAAAACAAAAAGAAAATACGGAATGCTGAATTAAATGAGGGGCAAGTTTTAAAACCCCATCCCGCCCTCAGATGACTGGACTACGGTTCCCAGCAGCCCTGTACGGTCCCGCCCCTCTGGAGTGACGCAAGGGCGGGGCGTGTCTGTGCTTCGGCCCCGCCCCGCGTCCCGCCGCCGCCCTCCCCCAGGGTTGTGGCCACGCGCAGCGGCAGCGGTTGTTCCGCTTCCCCTCCGGCCCGGGCCGTCGCCATTGCCGAAGGCTCCTGCCCTCCCCCTCCCTGGCCCGCGGGGCTCCGCGCCTCACGGCCTCGGTAGCGACGGCCGCGCCCGGAGCCGCTCCCCTCTGCCCTGCCCTCTTCCCTCTCTGCCTCCCACAGCAGCGATCGCCCGCGTCTGCCCGGCAGCCCGCCCCGGGTCGGGCGGAGACCTTCCCTCTCTGGTAAGTGCGGACGCTGTCGATCGGGCTGGGCCGCCGCCCTCCGCCCGCCTCCGCGGCCTGGGCCCAGCGGCCCGGGACGCAGGCACCTGCGAGCGGGCCCTCGGCTCCGGGCGGTGGCTCATTGTCTGCGCCCGGGTTCTCCTCAGTTTCGGCGGGGAGGAAGCTTGTGGGGCTGCGCGGACCCAGCTGTGCCCGGCCCCAGTCCGGCCGCCCTCGCCCTCCTGTGCCGCGGCGGTGCACCGGACGGCTCCGGTTTGTTCCTGGATGCTCCCTCCTTTACCAGCTGCGTTCGCTGCAGCCTTGTGGCTCCGGAATCCTGTCGCGAGCCCCTCAGGTTCCGTCTGTAAGCTCTTCCTCATTCTCCACATCAGGAGAAAGTTTTGCAGGGTTCCGGGAGCCTCCGCTTGAGAACAGAACTTAAGGATTTCTCATAGTTTTTGCTTGATCTTCAGCCAGGAGGTGAATATTTGCGTCTTAAGGTTAACTTGGGCTGAGGTTGGCTTTTCACCATGTTTGGCTTTCTGAAACACGCGCGCCCTTACTCACAAAAACGTTGCCGCAAATAACTCAGTGGACTCAACCTTTTGATTAGTTCTTTAGAGATCAAGTCATCCAAGACAGCAGTGTGTAAAATAGTTGCCATTGTGGCTTGATGAGAGGCTCTTCCCATCCTCTATCTTAATTTTAATAGGAATAGGTGGAGTGGGAGAGATTTGTTTCCTCTTTGGTAAATAACTCCCATTGGTAGCGCCCATGTTCTTCTTTACAAGTGACCTGTAGATTTTCTACATTTCATTTCTGACCTTTTTAAGAAGGACAACCAAACCGGTTAGGCCCGAAATTAGACGGCCCACGACGAACTGTGTTTTGGATGAAGGTTGTGCACGTCACGTTTTTCCCCTGCTGTGTTTGACTCTTCCGCTCTTATAAGTAGGCAGGATATTGAAATAAATACACAAGAATTTGCTCTGGGGATTGTGTGTGTGTGTGTGTGTGTGTGTGTGTGTGTGTGTGTGTGTGTGTGTGTGTGTGTGTGTGTGTAGTTATCCAAAAGAATAGCATGAATAAAATTGGGTCGGAGTGAAGACAGTGAATAGTAATTTTTAAAGCAGGTTAGGGCATGTCAACTTTGCCAGAAGCCCTGTGGCACTTGTAGAACATTCTTGCCCATCGTAGGCTCTTCAAGGTGTGTGTGTGTGTAAGGGAAAAAAACCCTTTTCATGTGCTTTTACACAGATCCTCTCTTTTTTTTTTTCTGGACAGGGCTGCATTCCTGCTCAGGCTGGCCTGACACTTCCTTATGTGCCGGGATTACACATGTGAACTAACATATTTGGCAATGTCTGCTTTTAAATCTTTTTAGAGATTAATTAGCCAGGAACACTATTGTACATTTACATTATGGAAACTGAATTTCATGCTGTTGCTTAGACAGCTACGTAGGTAGGAAGGTAGTAAGTAGGTAGGTAGACAGACAGACGATACTGAATTTCATGTTGTTGTTTAGGTAGGTAGGTAGGTAGGGTAGGTAGATAGATACTCATTTTAAAGTAACTTTTCGATTTTGGTAAAAGAGGTTGACCTAAATTCAAAATGTTTTGTTTTCATTAGACTATTATCTTTCCCTCTACTAGGCTATAGGGAAACCATGGCTTAGTTCTCAAGTATGGTCATGCTTTGGTACTGTCAATTGTACTTATGTTAATGAGATGCCTTGGCATGAGGGACTTAGATGTAGAAATGTCAGAGAATGAAAAAAATACCTTGAGGCCAGCTTCTGCTATTCTTTGTCTGTTTTAACTCCTTGTACTGGATTGTACCAAAGCCCTGCCTGTGGTGATATGCAAGCACTCTCACTGAGCTACAACCCCAGCCCTTTTTAACTTTTTGAGGCACAATCTCAGTTTTCTAGGCTGCTCTTCTCTTGAACTGGTGTTCTTAATTTCTCAACCTCCCTAGTATCTGGGATCACATGCTTGTGGAATTGTCTTACATCAGCTCCTAGTAACTGAGATTACAGGTGTGCACCATTGTGTTGGGCAAGCAGACATTAAAAAAAAAAAAGAATTCTTGGGTATTTCACTTCTTGGGGCCATGATTCCAATTTTCGATCAGAAAGAAAGAGATTAATTCTTCTGGACTTTGTGTTATATGATATCAACACTGCAAGCCTAAATTCATGAAGTACGATTTTTAGTTGTCTGCCAACAGAGTGGAGGTTCTCATGTTTCTTTGATCTTTATGATAGGCAGGTTTCCAAGTAGATATGTTGGGGTAGTTTATATTTCACTTCAATTACATGTTTTAAATGAGGGAACTTACAACTTGTTCTGGTTAGCTAAGGATTAACTTTGAATTATACTTTCACAGAACTCAAGAGCTAGTATAACTAGCCAAGTGTAAAACAAGTAGGTATGATTGAATGCTTACTATCTTTATCATTATTGGTTATTAAAGTAATAATGTTCAGTGTATATTTCTTTTGGCTTTCTGAGTTTTCTGGTTTTGGTTTAAATTGAGACTAGTTCAGGTCTTTTCCCCCCAAGTGCTTCTAGTTACAGAATTAACTGATTCTTGTCTAATGAATTCTTGCAAATGTGCTTCTGAGTTGTTCTTGTATTTTTTTTTAATGGTCATTGATGTTTTGATTGCATGTATGTTTCTGTGAGTGTGTCAGTAGTTCTGGAACTGGAGTTACATTCAGCTGTAATGGGTGCTGGGAACTGAACATGGGTCTTCTAGAAAGAGCAGCCAGTGCTCTTAACTGCTGAGCCACCTCTCCACTCCTCCTTTTTATTTTTTGAGGACTTGTTTTTTTATGTGTATGTGTGTTTTGCCTGCGTGTGTGTATATGCACCACCTGGAAGCCTAAGAAGGCCAGTGTGGTGGTCAGATCCCTGGAACCCGAAGAGAACTCATTGCTTCCAACTGCTGAGCCATCTCTCCAGTCCCCATTGCTAACAGTCTTATTTAATAAGTTAGAAGTAAGCTTCTGTTGAGGGTGTGTGTTTTTTACTTGATTTAAATTGTTTTGTTTAGTGCTTCTGGGACAGAGTATCCTCCATATGTGTAGTCTGGCTGTCCTTGAACTTATGGTGGTCCTCTTTTCCTGAGCCATTCAAGTGCTAGCTAGGATTATAGGCTGAGCTGCCGTGACCTGTTTACTTTGATTTTAGAATTGGAGGAAAACTATTGTATATTGATTTCCATATCAATAACCACAGTGGTCCCTCCTCCCAACAGTTATGAGTCACCCCATTATATGGTACTTCTACTATCTTGCTCATTATGGTTTTCTAGTTCAGAGTGGGGAGAGCGTGTTCCCTCCTATGTTCTCTCCTTCCATGTGGGTTGTATTGAACTCAGGTCATCAGGCTTGGCTGTAGGCACCGTTACCCATTGAACCCATCTTCATGACCAAGAGGATTTTTTAATTTATGACCAAGAGGATGTTTTATCTGTCTGTCTATCTATCTATTTTATTTTGGTTTGGTTTTTTGAAACAGGAGATTTCTCTATTAAGCATGTTTCTTTGTGTAATAGCCTGGCTGTCCTAGAACTCACTCTGTACACCAGACTGGCCCCAAGTTCACAGAGCTCCATCTACCTCTGCGTGCCGAGATTAAAGGCATGTGCCATCACCTCCTGGCTTGATTTTAAGGTGTTTCTCTTTCTGTTTTGTGGCAGTGAGGTAAAGGGAGAGAGGCTGTCTGTTCCCGATGGTCCTCCTGTCTTCCTTAGCCACTGTAGCACACGCAGCATCTAGCTTCTGTGGTTCTGGGAATCAAACTCAGGTCATTAGGTTAGCATGGCAAGTGCTTTTACATACTGAGTTGTCTTCTCAACCCAGGATTTTGTTTTCTGTTTCTTCATTGTGGTCTAAAATATACCTAAGAATGATTACCCTCTTAACAGTTGCTAAGTTTACAGGGCCATGGACTTAAACATTCATTCACTCTGTTGCATAGCACCACTACCACAGCACTCTATAGCTCTTTTCATCTTATAAAACTAAAAGTCTGTGCTTGCTAATTAGTAATTCCTTGCTTTCCTTTTAGTCCCCGTGATTTTGACTTCATATGTAAGTTAGTTTTACTTTGGTTTATTATCTCGCCTAGCCTGAGTTGTTCAGCGTCCTTCCATGTTGTAGCATGTGCATGTGTACGTGTACCCTTCCTTTTATGGTTGAACCCTTCTTCATTCTGTGTATGAATCACATTTGCTTAACCTAAAGAGCCAAAGAACACTTGAATGATGCGATATAGATAACAGTATAGATGTACAGATACTTCTTCAGGAAATCATTTTCTCTAGAACTAACAGTGCTGGCTTGCATGACAGCTACTTTTACCTTTTTTGAGGAGCCACTAAACTGTTTTCCATGGTGGCTGTGTTGTTTTATGTTTCTACCAGCAGTGCACAGGGGCTTCAGTTTCTCCACACTCTTGCCAGTTCGTAATTTTCGGTTCATTTTTTAAATAGTAGCCATCTTACTAGTATGAAGTATTTCATTGCTGTTTCCGATTCACATTTCCATAATTATTAGTGACATTGAACGTCTTTTTGTGTGTTGTCATTTATATATCTTTGGAGTAATGTCAGCTCAGATTCTTACAGGTCTGTTCTTGTGAGGACATGACTTTTGTACTGATGGGGTTAAATTAAGGAACTCGATTGTGGCGGTGATATATTTAGTTGCATGAGAAACTTCAATATTGTTTTTCAAAGCTGCATATTCTTGCATTCCACATCCTTGCTAGCATGTGGTGGGTTTAACTTTTCTAAAACGTGTAGTGGCAGTATATGCTTGGTCATTGTTTATTAAACTCTGATAATGATGTGTAATGTTGAACATCCCTTTCTTTTTATATGCCATTTGCATGTCGTCTTTGATGAGGTGGGTCATTAGCTATTTTGTCCATTCTTAAAAGAGTTGTTCATTTTCCTATTGCTGGGTTTTGAGTGTTTTGTATTTTTTTCATGTAACACTTTTTTACATC